AGCTAACAAAAGGATGGCTGCTTCTACAGGGAGATAAAACCACGTGCTCACTTTAAGGCAGCGTAGCTGTAAGGGCAGACTGTGGGAGCATACAAAGCAAGATAATGTACTTGACTTTACCTCTAATTTACCAAAGTGGAGGCTTTCCCACCATGGAATACCAACTTTCCAGATTCCCTGTTATAAGTTAGGAAATATAGTCCTCATCATATTTCCCTCAGTGTTAGTGTTCCACAGCAACTCTTTATCAGATTGTTGAAACATTTCACCAGTTTTCCATCAATTCCTGGATCCTTGTTTATGGTGAATACTTTCAGTACAGCTTGGCCTTCGTTCAGTACCATTGGTTCTTTCTCATATGCTGAGAAAATGCGTAAGCCACCACATTAAGACAAACTTACAAATGATCGATGGCAACATTAATAATTTTAAATGTTGATAACAAGCGGACATGGTATGCTTGTAGATTTGGGGATGAATTCATGGGGCGAAAGGTGGGGAGGAGGCTCCATTAGGCAGAGCTTTGCAGTATGCTTTTTCCCCGATAGGCGAGCAGGTAGCAGCTTGAAGACGCCTAACAACAACATAAATTGAGAAAACCTGCGCTCCAAGTCACACAAACGTGTTTCCTAGGAAGTAACAAACTCTTTAAAATGGTTTACTTACTTTATATAGACAATTTAAGTCGATTCTCAATATCTAACCTAAAGATGCATAATTAGGTGGAAAGAAAATAATCTACAAATGTCAGGTACAAACATATTAGTCACTCCAATATTTTGAAATGTACTTAGATTGTGATTTAGAGCATCACATTTTCCTAAGTATATTGAACAAACTTGTAGATAAAAATTTATGTAGACAAGGTATCCCTAATCCACTAAGACAGTTAAATATTACATTATCATTTGTGCTTGCTTATTTCAATAACTGAAGTCAGTTTCCATTTCATGTTTTCTCCTTTAATAACCATGCAGGCAGAGTTTGATTATGATGGGTAAGGGAACTGGAGGAATTTTAGGTCGTGACCCTTTTTTCTCATTTAAAAAAAAATGTTTTTTTCAATTAAACTTACTTTATTAGTAGTAGTATTATCCCACTTTATTTTTGGAATACAGCACTTACAAAGAAAAACACACTACCGGTCCATGTAACCGCGCATCTCCCTGCATCGGAACCGTGGCGGTAGCCAAGTCAATGTCCAAGTTGAGTGTGGTTCTTCCTACTCCCCCCAACCCCCGCCCCCGCCACGCCCTCCTTCCTTTCTTGCTTGTCCTCTCCCTCCTCCCGTGCCTCATCGTTGTCGTCTCAAAGCTTGGGGTTGAAAAACATGTTTCTATTTTTTTTAACTTTATAATAATGGTGTCTTTTAATATCTTTAATTATGAAATTTGCTGAGCATAAGATCTTCTAGTATTATCCATGTCATGAAGTGTTTAACAATCTCATCATTGTTTTACAGGGATGTATAATATTCCATTGTATGCATAGCAGTATTTATTAATCCATTACGTCAAAGAAAGAAATTTTGGTTATTTTAATCTTTTTATGAATATGGAGATTGCTGTGATAAACATGTGTGTGCATATTGCTGTTGCTCTTTTGTTCCTTATTTATTAAGTGTATATACCAAATAGAGAGATTGAAGGTATTTCTATTTGCATTGTTTAAGGAAGTGCCATACATTTTTCTATAACTACACTGACTGCCATTAAGCCAGTTTGAACTTATAAAGACCTACAGGGAAGAGTAGAACTGCCCCTGTGGGTTTCTGAGCCTGTAACTCTTGATGGGAGTTGAAAGCCACCTCTTTTTCCTGCAGAGCAGCTTGTGGTTCCACACAAAACTCCTTCCATTTAGCAGCCAATCTATAGCTCACTACGCCAAGTCTCCTGGTGGCTGAACAATTCTGCAACCAGACCAGCAATGTATGAACGTTGCAGTCTCTCTACATCCTCTCCAACAGTTATTTTTTATTGTTTGTTTTTTATTTTTAATTTTGTAAGGAGAGTGCATGTGAAGTGTTATTTCCCTGGTGCTTTAATTTGTATTTCTATTATAGCTAATGATTGCGAGCATTTCTTCATACGCTCATTGGCCTCCTGGATGTCACCTTTAGTAACTTCTCTATTCATTCCTTGTGCCCATGTTTTATTAGGTGACTTGTAAGTACCATCCAGTTGGCTCTGACCCATAGCGACACCATGCACAGCAGAATGAAACACTGCATGGTCCTGCACCATCCTCACAAGTTATGCCTGAACCCATCCATGCAGGCACTCTGTCAATCCATATTCTGGAGAGCTTCCTTCCTTTTCACTCTCCTTCCACTTTATCAAACATGTCCTTCTCTTAGCGACTGGTCTCTCCTGACAACATGTCCAATGAATGTAAGATGAAGTTTCACCATGCTTATCTCTAAGGAGCATTCTGGCCTTACTTTTTCCAATACAGTAAGCAGTCCATGGTACTTTTAATATTCTTCTGCAGCACCACAATTCAAATGCATAAATTCTTCTGTGGTCTTCCTTATTCAATGTCCAATTTGAACGAACATACATATGACACAATGGAGAATACCATGCCTTGGGTAAGACGCACCTCAAAGTAACATCTTTGTTCTGGCAACGGGGAAGTGGGTGAAGGGAGACATTGGACAGTGTAAAACATGACAAAATAATAATAATTTATAAATCATCAAGGGTTCATGAGGGAGGGGGGAGTGTGGAAGAAGGGGAAAAATGAGGAGATGACACCAAGGGCTTAAGTAGAAAGCAAATGTTTTGAGAATGATGAGGGCAACGAATGTACAGATGTGCTTGACATACATGGATGTATGCATGCATTGTGATGAGTTGTGTGAGCCTGCAATAAAATGATTTTTTAAAAAGATTCAATATCAAAAACTCCCCACAAAACTCTAAAGAAGTCCTGTGCAGCAGATTTGCCTAATGCAATACATCTTTTGATCTCTTGACTGCTGCTCCCATGAGCATTGATTGTGGATCCAAGTAAGACAAAATTCTTGACAACTTCAAATTTTTCTCCATTTATTATTAGTCCAGCTGTGATGCTTTTGGTCTTCCTTATATTGAGTTGTAATCCATAGTGAAGGCTCCAATCTTTGATCTTCATCAGCAAGTGCTTCAAATCCCCGTCACTTTCAGCATGCAAGGTTGTGCCACCATGCTTCCTCCACTGCTGATGCTGCACTCGTCTTCATATTTTTAGTTGTTTTCTATAGGTTTTTAAACATTCGTCCTTTATCTGATCATATCATTGCCAAATATTTTTCTCAATCTATGGTTTCTCTTTTTACTATTAGGCCAGGGTCTTTTGGTTTGCATTGTCATATTTTTAGAAAATCCCAGTCATCTATTTTGTCTTTTGTAATGTGGGTGTTTTAATTATTTAGTCGTGTATTTATGCCTTGTAATAGGGCCCTTAAGTTGTCCCCTAATTTTTCATTCATGATTGTTGAGGTTCTAAGGTTTATATTAAGTTCTTATTAGGTCTTGGCTCAATGTTGTGCATGGAGTTAGATATAGTCCCTGTTTCATTCATTTGCAGGTAGACATGCAATCAGTCCATCAAATTATATCTTGAACTATTTATTGCTTATTTACAATTATCTTAGTTCATTTTAATTCTTAATTGTTAAAATACATTGTACCTCATTATTAAGAAAACACAATTATAATGTTGCATGGACTGACATTCTTTTTGGTAGTATATCCCATTATGTTCCATCATATATTAAAAAATTATTATTATGGTGTCTACTTAAAATAATAATTATTAATTTCCTCAGGATTGAGCAATTTAGTATATATTCTGGAAGTGCACCATGTATTATCATATTCTTTTCTTGTTAAGCAATATCTACTGTTAATTTTCATTACATTAAATTATTGAAAATTATCTTAACAGTTACTCAACTTAATTATATCATACTCCATTATATTTATTTTATTCAGCTATTATTAGTAATATATTTTGCAAGATATTTTGTGGATAATTTTCTATCTTTTTTAATGCATATTAACAAAAATGCATATTAACAAGTAAATTTGAATTCAAAACTAAATGATATTAATTCTAGTACAAAACATCGAATCTAACTGATAAGAATGCTGGTGAGCACAAGCATTTTATCTGAAGTTGAAATTTATTTGAATTGATCCTAATTAGGAAGCTCTAACTTTTTTTTCCAAAAGAAAAAAAAGACCAATATTTCTTCATATGAAAAATTTCATTTTCAAAGGCATAACTGTATTTCCTATGCACCTAAATCTGAGATTATGAACTTAAAGTACTGGTAAGTGAAAAGAATAATTGGTTTGATTTTCAAAGGCATAACTGTATTTCCTATGCACCTAAATCTGAGATTATGAACTTAAAGTACCGGTAAGTGAAAAGAATAATTGGTTTGATTATTAGTGATTAAATAAGCATTTAAAAGGTAGGTTTATGTTTATGACACTGCCCAAGAAGGTAGTTGCTTCTTGCCTCTTGCAGGTGAGCGTTCATACATCTTGTCTCTCAGAAGTCTGCACCCAGGGATGCACCCGAGAAAGTCTTTGACATTGAAAATCAGAGACCTTCTTAACATCAACATCCTGGAAACAATCCGAACACCCACCAGGGAGAGTAGATGAATCAACGATGTGTTAGTCATGCATTGGCATATACTCCTGTAGTCAAAATAAATGAACTATAACAATGTGCCACAACATGGATGAATCTTAGCAACAAAGAAGCTCTCAGTAAAACTTTTTTTTTTTTTAACTCCTTTGGAGACATTGAGAAAGGAAAGCTTAAAAAAACCAATCTGCGAGTAAGTCGGCTGGTGTCCAATTCCTTCTCTTGTATTTCATACAAATGAGGAAAGATGGAATTTAATTATCAGCTGAAAAAGATAATTTAAAGTCATATCTGATGCTAGAACACCGTGGAATCTTTTGCATGGGTGAAAGGAAAGAACTCGGTGTCTTTGCGAAATGACAAAGCGCTCTAAGTTGGAGTCTGCCCAGTTTTCCAAGCTTGAGTCTGCTGAGATCATTCCTGCTGATGCAGATCAGTGTGGAACATTTGATGATCTTCATATTCATGTTTACCAGCCACAAGTAGAATATTTGAGAACTGAACCAAGTTTCAAGACATTCATTCTGCCTAGATTAGAACATTTTATTTTCGTGTAATTGCAAATATTCTGGAAGCAGATCACACACCATTCAATTCACAATAGAGAGTGGTAGTTTGGAAACATTTATTAATGTGATAAATCTAAGTATACATCTACAACCAACTTACCCTGTCCCTAACTCAGGAATTAAAAGACTTATATTTCCACTCAAGTAAACACATTTATTTAATCCTAAGTTATCTGTTATTAAGAACCAGGTTATAGACTGTTATAGAACTTCAACTACATACAGAATGTAAAGCAAAATAATTTTTCCCACACATGAGAATTAGTTAGAACAGCCAGAATGGATTTTATTTAATAGCTATTTATTTTGCACCTACTGAATATAGTTATTTTATGTGGTTTATTTTATGCATTATTTTATATTTATATAAAATATACGTTATATATTTTATATGCGGTATTTTAGAACAACAACATAATAATTTAGTTCTCCCACTTTTGTTTCTAAAAAGGCCAACAATTTCTTTATTTTTACTAAGGTATGAAATAAAATGCCACACTGCTGTGGATATGCCATACAGATGTCATAATATCTTTAGTCTTGGCAGAACCAGCCTCGGGCAAGATTGTGAAAAAGAAGATTGGCATTGACATCACTGGTCCTACTTTAGGCACTTCCCCCACCTACTTCCCTCTTCTCGCGAATGCCTCCCTCCTTATCCTTATGAAACTTCACATCTTTATGAAATTCCCTGACCCCTGCCAATTAAATCTGCTCTAAGCAAAGGATTCATTCTCCCTTGTTCATACCTCACTGTCAATTTAAGGAAAGCCTTATGTTACGCAGGTTTCTTGACATTTTTAAGCCATTTCTCTATGGCTTAATAGATTACGGTGATTGTGGACTCAATGGCTTTGTCCCCTGGAAAGCCAGATCAGCCACTTAAGTTGGCTTGTTTTCTAAAGTCAAAGCCAAATCAGCCTTGCCTTTATGGGGGGGTGGGGAGTGGTGGGAAGAAGGGAGGGGAGACTTACCAAAGAAGTTTTTTTATGAATACATATTACTGATTGAGTGATTCCTGCCAAATTAGTGATTCGTAGGTCCCCAATTAAACACCCTGACCACTCAGTGATGGTGGCGGTTACCATACATGTTATGACTAGTGTAGCAAATTGCTCAAACTGAGCTCTGTCAACCTTAATTGTGTCACACTACAGTAGCTTGTCTCCTACTGTCATTTCTTAGGTATTAATATTGATTCAAGCTCACTTCACTGTCTCCTTGATGTATTTCTTCTTTCCGCCTTTGAAAGAATCATTTACTTTTTATCACTCTGCCATACAGACATGTATCAGTTTTCTGTGCCCATCAAGTGATCAAAACTATATTTAAATCACATTTGAGGACCTCTCTTCAGGTTTCTAAAAGGTTGACATTGCCCAATGCAACCGTTTTCAGTTAACTATGTTCTGATTTAACTAGGGAACAGATGCTACATATGGAAAACACCAAATAGAAAGCAGCATTCATCTTTATGCTCAGAACTGTCTCAGTGTAAGCGTTCACTTCAGTCATATCCAAGGGCAATACAGCATCAGGTTTACCTGAACTGGAAGATAGGAGAATATTTAGGAACAACATTCTATTGCTGTTTTAATTTACTATTAATTTTTTTTAAAGCCCCAAGAAGAGGAAAATCCTTTGTTGAAAAGCATAAATTCGGGATACACAAAGGATTACATTTGGTGGATGCAAAACAGATCCAGTTTGAGAGCTAATAAGGAAGAATAAAGAATTTAGAAAAAAATTACTCCAACGAGATGAGGGTTTATTTACCCCAGTCTTTGTTTTTATCTCCATTATTTTCCACACAGGAAACACAATGCAACTTTAAAAATATAGGCATATTTCTCTTGTTATTGTTAGGTGTCGCCAAACTGTGTCCGACTCACAGTAACCGTATGTGCAACAGAACAAAACACTGCACAGTCCTGTTCCACCCTCACAACTGTTGTTCTGGGTGAGCCCATTGTTTCAGGGACTCTGTCAAGCCATCACACAGAGCGCTTCCTCTGTCTCACTCCCCGTTACATTACCAAGCATGATGGGCCTCTCCAGAGACTGGCCTCTCCTGGTAATATAGCCAGAGTATGTAGGACAAAATCCCACCACGGTGGCCTCTTCAGAGACTTTTGGCTGTGCTTCCAAGACATAGATATTTATTCTTTTGGCAGTAAGTGGTACTTTCAATATTTTTCACCAACACCATTGCTCAAAAGCATCGCTTTTTCTAAGTTCTTCCTTATTTAATGTCCAATTTTTAGTGCATATGAGGTAATGGAAAATGCCATGGCTTCTCTCAAACCTGCCTTGTGTGTTATTCTGAGTAGACTAACAAATCCAGGAAGACACATATGTGTATAAGGAAGAGTTTTAAAAACAAGAGCAATTGAACATTAAGAAAACATCCCAGCCCAGTCCAGATCAAGTCCATAAGTCCGAAATTATCCCATATGTATGATACCAATCTATAAAGTCCTCTTCAGACTCAGGAAACACATGCAATGACACCGAATGCAGGAAGCTCACAGGCCAGTGGTAGAAAGCCTTTGGATCCAGTGGCATTGTAAGTATCTCAGCGCTGTCAGGGTTCTCCATGTAACTTCTCCAGGTCCCAGGTTCTGGCTGCATCAGGGTTGGTCCATGTGGCTTCTCTTCAGGGATGTCTCGCAGCGAGTTAGCCTTGTCGTTAGACAGTCCCTCAGGGAGTGAGCAGAGAGGGAAGATGTCTCCCGCCTCCAAGGAGGAAATATCAGTTTTCCCAGAATTCTCAGGAGAAGGCCATGACCACCCAGAGACCTCATTGGCTATGACCCAATTGTCAGACTAGACTCCACCCCTTTACTCTTAATCCTCTCAAGTCCCAAATTGACACCAGTTTATGTAACTATCACAGGTAACAAGGCACTCACGGACTGGGAGAGATAATTTAGCAGCTACCACACCTTAGTTTTTAAAGTAACATCCTTTCTTTTCAACACTATAACTCAATGGAATATATCATTTGTTCTGACTGTGGCTCCCCTACCCCCACCCCAACAGTTTTATTGGCACATAATTGATATGTCATACAATTCAACAGTTCAATTATATCAAGGGTCATCACAATATCAATCTCGAGCACACCCCTACCCTTGGTTAAATCTCCTTTAGCATGAGTCATGCAATCACAATCAGTTCTAGTGCTCCCTCCCACTGGAGCTTACATTATTACTCCCCAAATCCCTTTCCCTCCCTATTGCCCACCTGTCACATCTGCATTCCCTAGAACCACTTTTATCAGTTATTCTCATTATGTATCCCCTCCTCCTGTGTTTCACAATGGAGAAACCCAATAGATAGCAATAAAAAAGAACATCGCACTAAGGTGGTAAAGCTAAAATCAGAATAGAATAAAGACAAACATACAAATAATCTGTAAGAAGGCAAAGACCCTCATCAATAATCAAAAAGTCAGAAAGAAAATTTCTGTCATGGAACAAGTAAGATACTTGCCCCTAGTACAAATTCAGGTTGTGCCTATTGGGGGGTGAACTGCAAAAGTATCAAATCAATCCATTATGATCAAGATTACAATGGTCTTTGCATGATAGTGAGGCTGTCCAAGACTCTTGCCTTTGGCTGGAGTGAATCTGCTAGTGGTTCAGTCTGACTAGATACTCTGCAGATGGGTTTGGGGCTCCCACTGTCTTCCATTAACTTCTACAAATGTGGGTGTTCATAACTTTAGCTCTGATACTTTTCACTTCACCATATTCAAATTTTGTAACCATCATCGATGTTTTTCTGTGTTTTGTTGACTATGGAATGTGTTCAATAATGTTTTATTATAAAAAATTATGATAATATTGCAAAGAACAGGAATTTCAGGATACTTAATAATAGTCATGCATGACATGCACATAGAGGTGCGGTTCTCAGCCTGTGGGCGTGACCCATTTGGGGGCCCAAATGACCCTTTCACAGAGGCCTCCCGATCCATATAGTAACAAAATTACAGTCCTGAAGCAGCAACGAAAATAATTTTATGGTTGGGGGGGGGGGTCACCACAACATGAGGAACTATATGAAAGGATCACAGCATTAGAAAGGTTGAGAACCACTGACATAGATCAAGAGGCATTGTTCAAACAGAGGAAGGAAATACTATGGTTTGACATGAGGAAAAGTGGGCAGGATTTGTATATTTTCCCCCATTTTCATCCAATCTTATTCTTAGAAGATAATTTGAGATGAACGGCACGAGGATTGGAAAAAGTCTCATTCACAACCTACAGTATGCAGACAGAACAACCTTGCTTGTAGAAAAAAAGGAAGACTTGAAGCACTTATTGACCACAATCAAAGGCTTCAGCTTTCAATATAGATTGCATTTCAACATAAATAACGTCTCACAAAGGGAATAACAAACAACACCAGGTTAAATGGAGCAAAGATTGAGGCTTTCAAGTATTTTACATTACTCAAATCCATAATCAAAGTCCATGGAAGTAACAGTCAAGAAATCAAAAATATCGCATTTGGGCAATTGTATTCAAAAAGCCTCTTTAAAATGTTCAAAAGCAAAGTCATGATCCTGAGGACTGAAGTGTCACTGAAGACATGACATCCCAATTGACCCACGCGCAACCTCGATCTGAACACTGAGGAAGGAACACAGAAGGACAAAAAGCACATCTCTGCTGTCTGTCATTGGAAATGAATGTCAAATATACTATGGACTGGCAAAAGAATTAACAAATCCGACTTACAAGTACAGCTAGAGAACACTTAAGATGGCTAGATGGGAAGGTTTCTTCGTGTACTTTGAACATGTTAAGAGACTCCCATCCCAGGAAAAGGGCCTCAGGCTTGGTAAATTGCAAGGTCCCTGAGAAAAAGGAAGATCTTCAAACACTAGATTAGCGCATTTGCTACAACAGTGAGCTCAAACATAGCAAGACATGGTGAAGATGGCATGGGACTGAGAGGTAGTCCATTCTAT